TTTGCGCAGTTTAAATTGCAGTATTTCAGCTTGAAACTCGTGGGTAATTTGCCCCTGGAAATGGCAAGATTGGTGCTAGACCAAAAATACTTGCACCTGCTCTGTCCCCCATCCTAGAACCTTCCGTGTACCAATGTATGTATCTGGGATCTAGTACAGGGAGCCCATTTGCACAATATTCGCGGACAGGGATTACAACTTGGAACTCTCTGCCAAAGCAGATTCCTTTAGTAATGGAATCAGAGATTCCGCATATTTCCAACCCTGGTATCTTCCGAGGAATAGCTGCAGGAAGCTTCTTTGTGGAGTTACACGTCCTTCGTGGCTGTTCTTTCCTGAATAAAAAATATGAAGAGGAGTCCATCCTCATCATTGCAGTTTATTAAGGCGAAGTATGGCAGTTTTTGGCAGTGTCTTCTGCCACCTAGCTATGGATGCAAAAGACACAATAGGACGGACGATCATACGGTAAAGCCTTGATCTCAATCCCCATATTCTTCCAAAATGTCTTCTGCAGGCCGTATGGCTTTAGCAACCGTTCTCTCAAGATGAGAGTTTCAGTCTCTAATTCAGTCTCTTATCCATCGTAATTCCCAGATATTTGATCTCATCGGAGTATTCAAGCACTGTCCCTCCAAAAGTCACCGAACCAAAGTTTGTTTTACACAGTCCCTTAGAGTGAAGGAATTTAGGCAGATCAGAATGATTTAGCTAAGTCAAAGGGGCCTGTTATCCAATTTGGAATAAATAACACGGACGCCTTCCTCCAAGCATACGGTACGTATTCCCAGCAATAAGTACCCCCGAATACACAGATAATGGGAATTTATCGCATGCCCTCGATACATCTTTATATTCGTATTGGAAAGATCGCATCACCAAAAGCTGCTTAGAATGGTTCGAAAGACTCTACCGCCAACCGTACCTTGTCCCTGTCAAAGATGGGCCCAGCTCTGCTATGACTTTTCACTCTAGGGGAACCTGTGTTCCAAGGAGACAGGGGTAATCCGAATATGTTCCACCAAAACGCCTTGGAAATGCTTCCAGGTGCAGCAGAGACGGGAGGCCTTAGGCAACGTCTCTATTCTCTCGCATTGCCACCTCCATGGATCCCTCTTCGAGCACCAAATAAGTATGTTATAGTCAGTGAGACAAGCCTTATACTCATCCCACTGATGTGTCCATTTGGCCCTGTTTCTAAGCTTCCTAACAGATTTGCGCTTTGCATTAAATTTCCCATTCTACCACTAACTGTGCTGTCATGGAAGGATTAAAACAGAACGCTGTTGAGCACATCCGCTTCGACCTCCTTTTCGTCAGTTGAATCAATGGTTGTTAGCAACTAGTGTGCTCTAACGTTCACTAAAGTTTTAAAAATGGTCTAGTCAGTTTTAATAAACTGTAAAGTCCAACTGCGAATTTCAGATCGCCCTGCGATCTCGAAGACTATGTGCGGATGATCCGAGAGCGATACTTCTACCGAGACTTCTCAATACCAAATACGTTCGGAAATTTATCTGCTGCAGAGAGGAGTGACATGTAAATGTAGGTTTGCAACTCCTGTTGGCAAAGTCTAAGTTATTTTGGTAAAGATATTCTAAAAGTTACTCTCCGCTTCCGTTGATATTGAAGCTGTTCCACACAGTCTGTTGGGCATTCGCACCCCAAACAATAATGTACTGGCGATTTGTGCGTCGATAAAATACCTCCCATGGTGGTATAGAGGGGACGTCACCTGGGAAGCAGGCGGATGCCAGGACAATTTTCTGCACACCATCCACCGTCGACACCTCAAATACAGCCGCTGAAAGGTCCCTGGAAATAAATTAAAGTAAATCCTACCGATTTTTATAAACGCATCTGCCTTCTGTTAAATCATTGGCTAGAGCTCATAAATTAAGTTGGCCTTGGAGGACCTTTTTGCTGGTTTCCATTGCAATTCGAGTGCCTTAGAGATGAAGTGTGACTATATGTAGTAAGGTTAAGTGTGATCCCTGAAACATACATATGAAAATGTAGCTTAAGTTGGCAACGGCTCTAATGAATTTAAAGAAAGCTTGGGCCCTACTTTAAGGTCTCTCAAAAAATTCCTGATTTTTATTATGCTAACTATTTTTCCCAGAAAAATCAGGTATAAACTAAAACATGCAGCAAAAAGTACATTGGGTAAAACAATACTCAAACTTGATACACATTATAGCATCCATACTATGTCCGTATACATACATACATATGTATACATATAAACCTTCAATTACATGCTCATGCAAATATGTATTTCATTTCTGTTAGCAACTCTGTTTCATGTGGAAAAAAGCCGAGCTCGGCAATTAGTTTGTAAAATAGGTTAACATGCACTAATGACGTTTTCTATTCATTTTCACTCTCAACAACTACAAATGCACTTTATACTTTGCCTACAACAATTTTCAGAACTATTACGACAGCTATGTAGCCGCATGTATATACATACATATGTATATGTATATGCTATATTAAGTTCCCATATTACGCAAAGTAATAGATTTGCTTTCAGCCACTCATATTAGTATCATGAGGACATAGACGAAGCGCAAACATTTTTACATACATACATACATATCTATACACATTCAACTTTGGCCATGAAAGTATTTTGTTTATGGCTGTTTGAGTTTTGACCTAGTTCGCACGAAATAATACACAATTGAAACCTTGATTGTGGTTTTTTGGTTTGCAAAAAATTTAATAATGTAGATTATTTTGTATGTGAATTTGGTGGTTGGCTAGCATTTGTTGCATTTTGTATATGGAAAGCGAGTAATGTGTGTGAGTAAGGAAATCAAATGTGGTATTTTACTGGAATGTCATTAATATTGCAAGCAATAATGTTAAACAAATTATAAAATAAGTGGTTAAATATGCATTAATCAAGAGAATAGGGTGTACGGATAAAATGTTAATAAAATGTGTGACTTTTGTAAATGGCTTAAAGTTCAGCCAGTGACGAAAATAGAGGAAGAAACCAGACTGGTGTATAGGAAGGATACTCACCACCCTCCAATCGAGCAAGACGACATGAGAACAGCCATAATGTGGCTTAGAAACAGCAAAGTCTCTAGAGCAGAAGTTTTTCGGCTGAGCTGTGCAAATTCAACGGCGAAGATCGGGTCGGACGCATCTGCCAGCTTCTAAGCGCAATTGGGTTTGATGAGCACACTCTCGAAGACAGGAATCTCAGAGTACTTTACCAAATCCATAAGATAAGAGATCCTGCCTTCAGAAACCAACTGCTTGGACCTTATCAGTGCGGCTTCGTACCGCAATTGACCAGACTTTCACAGAGCGCCTAATCCTGAAAAAGACCACAGACAATCAAATTGCCATGCACCATATTTACGACGACTTTGAAGGCGCTGTTCTTCGATCGAATAGGAGCTGTGAAATGAAGCTGCCTTTATGATATCATGTCTAAACCTTAGATCTGAGCAAACCCGATACGGCTTTTTTGGAACGACGTTCAGCACTACCTTCATCTACCTTTAAATTTGGAAGGACCATTCAGCACCGTTTAAGACCAAGTTAGGTTTTAAACAAGGCAACTCAGTTTCGTTCGACTTCTTTAAACTCTTTCATATTTTTTTGGCGCAGAAACATATTTCCCATAATCCCGTATAATCCATAATCCCTGCTTTTGGATCACTCGCGTAGCGTTAGGTAATTTGTGCCCAGCGTTCGGTCTTTACTTGGATCAGAATATCTACTCCACTTGCCTTAAAAATTGTTTCGTTTTTTCACTCATGATCTGGCCTCTGCGGGCCGTTTTTTGCCACGATTTTCAGTTAAAGATTATATTTAAGAAAAGCTTACTGATGAAGGTAGTGATTTATATAATAAAATGAGTAAATACAGTAATTACATTATTTTTTAGGATGCGTACCGAACGGAGCGAAGCTTTCAAATTGCTGTAACCGTATGAGAATGTTCAAACATTAGGTTAGGTTAGGTTAGGTGGCAGCACTGTATATCCGGGGCTCAAATAGACAATTCTAATAATCCTGTCCTTTGTGATACCACATTCTGAACGGCACCCAACACTTAATCGATAAAACGCCCCAAGCCGACTATGTATTTAAGAATTCGGCTAATCTCAATGCCCCAGAGCTTCTCGAGGCTATTAACGATGTGAGAGCAAAAGTACTTCAACCTTAGCCTCGCAAACGATGGGTCGTGCGATCTCGCATGTCACGAGTTTCACTCAGCGCTCGCCGAGCTGACATGAGGCCCATCTATCCAAGAGTGCGGGGCGGATTCGTTGCGACAGAATCGCATAGGTGTGTGAATGCCGTAAAGCAATTCAAAGGACTTCCAAGTAATGCAAATATTTTTTTATGATTATATACACTGACTAAAAAACTACTGTCATACTTGTTCTTGTATTAATTGCGTTTAATATGTAGGATCCACAAGCAGTTATATTTCCGGATCCAATTTTTAAGGTAGCTCACTTTACATATGTAAATCATTTCTTATATTTTTCATACAACTCAGTTTAAGCCTCAAAAGAGACTTTTTTGCCGCTTTTTACGGCTAAAGGGAAACGCAGGAAAACGAAAATAAAAAATTCAAATCTGCTACCGAAGTTTTAGTTTTAGTCCGATTTTACCAGTGATTTACTCCCGAGTTGACTTTCGGTAGTCCGTACACTGGATGTGTCTTCTACTCAAGCTACATACATTCATTTCAGCAATGCATTACATAACAAAAACATTTAACTCTGAAGTCTGCAACAGTAACGCCTTTGAATGCACGTGTTTAGGTACCTAATGATATAATTCACTTCAAACCATTTAAAATGCATACAATTTGCTGAAATGCATTTATGTTAAATATTTAGAAAAAATCTGAATACCACTTACCAACAATTAAAACTATTAACAGGTCAATTTGAATTAAAGGTATTAAACGGCTCCAGCGCATTATATAGCTTCGTATGCACATAAAGCAAGCAGTAGTATATAAATCTTTAAGGTGGACAGTTTAAACTGATAGCGGATTTTTAGATAACGCAAAATGACAGCGATACGACCTTTGAGCGATGAACTGCAAAAAGTTGCAATAGAAGAGCTTAACGAAGGGCCTGAACGCTTGCAACGGGACATAGCTGCGCTACGCGAATGGATCGAGAAACAACCGCATTTGCGTGCACGCACCGACGATCAATTTTTAGTGAGCTTCCTACGCGGCTGCAAACACAGTTTGGAGAAGGCCAAATCGAAAATTGATCACTTCTATACGATACGCGCTATGTTGCCGCATGTGTTTGTGAATAATACAATGGCGAATGCAAAGAATTTGATGATCGCGCGATCAGGGTGAGTTTGAGAATGGCGTGGCAAAGTTTTGTTTTTGTTTTTGTTGTGGGAAATGACATCAATATTTGTGGCCGTATCGAACCAAGAACCGAACTTAAAACAATTTGGCGAACATTTTCAATGGCCAAAAAGAAGTAACGTTAGACTAATAACTAATGAGATATAGCTCGAGATTAATATTAAGTTTAAGATTAATATTAAGTTCAAAGTTAAGAGTAAAACTAAATTCAGGATTAAGTTTAATGTTAAGATCAATATTAAGACGAAAGTTAAGATAAAGCTGAAGATTAAGATAAAGATTTAGATTAAGTTTAAGGATAATATTAAGATTAAGGCTACGATAAAGATTATGATTAAGAAAAGTGTTAAGATTAATATTAAGATTAAAACTAAGGTTAAGATTAAGATTAAAATAAAGATTTGGATCAGGACTAAGATTAGGGTGAAGCTCAAAATAAGGATTAACAATAAGCTTTAGATTAAGATTAAGTTTAAGATTAAGCTTAAGCCTTAGATTAAAATTATTATTAAGATTGACATTAAGATCAATATTAGGGACAATATTTAGATTAAGATTTAAATGAAGATTTTTTTTAAGATTAAGATCAAGGTTTAGAGTAAAGATAAGTTTCACTTCGGTTGCCCAAGCAAATTTTTTTTAATTTTTTTTTATCACATTTAATTTTTATAAAGCATATTTTCTAAGTTATTTCCTTGCAAATGAATAAATGAATCTATAGCTCTAAAGAAATATGCATTAAATCATCTAATTAGAAAAATCCTCCTCACCACCTCTAAGCTGACTCGAATCTACTGACTTCCACTAAAAATAAAAAAAAAATTATAATAATTAAGGTCACTCATTTATAGTGTGTACATTCATACAATCATAACTTACAATACTTATAAAAAAATATTTTTTTAGTGGCCTTCTAGTCTTACCAAAAACATTGGAAATTGGCGGTCCCGTCATTGGATTTTCACGCTATAAAATATTATTTGATTTACCGATTACAGCAAGGGATCTCCATCGCTTTACAATTATGTGCGCGGATATGGCAATTGTTGCCACAGACGAGTTCGTAATAGGTGGTTATATGGAAATAGTTGATGTCGATAAGCTCGGTGTGGGCGCCATGTCGAGAGTGGATCCTGTACTCGCTAAACAACTCACCACCTATTGCGAAAAAGGTTCGGCTATACGTATCAAGGGTATACATGTTATAAATGTGCCCAAGGAAGGCTTGGCAGCAATAAATATTATACGAAATCTTTTTCCAGTGAGCTTAAAGGAAAGGGTAGGTGCTAATGTATGAAAAAAAAACATTGTAGCTCTCTAAGTATTTACTCTTATTTTTTTATTTTAGTTCTTCGTGCACCGTAACGTGAAGGAACTGTGCAAACATATCCCCAAGGAGTATCTTCCAATCGAATATGGTGGTACAAATGGTTGCTTAGTAGATTTGGCTAAATATTATGAAAAGCTTTTGGTAGATTTTAATTCTTATTTCGAGGATAATGATAACTATGGTGTAGATGAGAATTTGAGGACGGGGAAAATAGTCAATATGAATTCCATATTCGGACTGGAAGGTAGCTTTCGAAAGCTGGAATTTGATTAGCGAATTGAGTGAAAATTTTGAAATAAACTACATTTAAACAATTTAGTGTTGTCGTTATTTCATAGAAAAAATAAATAAAAAATGACCAAGTGGTCAAAGACATTTTAAGTACTTTGCCTTTTATGTATATGTATTAGGGTGGTAAAAAATAAGTAAATTCGGAATTTTAATGCTTTCATCCCCTAGGATTATTCTATATCGAAAAATATACCCCTATTTTTTATTTTGAAATAAAAAAATATTTAGAGGTCGCTCAAAGTTTTCCATGTATTTAATATGGGGAAAAACAACTTTTCATATAAATGGTATGGAATTTTTCCAGAGGCCCAGAATAATTTTTTCATGGTTGAGTTTTAAAAAAGTCATCCAAATTTTCGTAAGAATTATAAAAGTCTTTTGATAAAAATTATGTGTGAGAAAAATGTTTTAAGTCATCGACAACTATTATTTTAAGACTTATATAATAAAAGTCTTTTCATAATAATTATCAGCGAGATGAATATTTTTTAAGAGTTCAAAGACTTTTATTTTGAGACTTATATTATAAAAGTCTTTTCGTAATAATTATCATTGAGATAAATATTTTTAGGTATTCAAAGACTTTTATTTTAAGACTTTTATTATAAAAATTCACAGAAATCAACTTGACTTGACGTTATTATAATACAATTCATTACGCTACAAAGCTGATTAAACGAAAATTTTCTAAAAATTCTGAATAAAAAGTTTTAAACTTTGATCAAAATATTTGGAAATTTGCTTAGCTTTTTTTGGGAACTCTTATTTATGTGGTTTCTGAGAAAAAAATTTAATAAAAGTTATAAAAGAAATTAACTCAACTAGCAGAGCAAGGTTTCGATCCTCGGACCTCTGGGTTATGGGCCCAGCACGCTTCCACTGCGCCACTCTGCTTACATGCCGTTAGTCGCTTAACATGCAGCTGGTTGCTTCGACATCTCTTTGCCCCTAGCACACGCCCCTTGGCGACTAACTGCATAGGTACTCAACGACAACATACTAAATAAATGCTTATCCTCCTCAGTCCCGAGACTAAAATAATTGAAAAACTAAAAAAAAAATCATGTTTTTGCGTTATATTCTTCCCAAATAATTAGAAAACCCATTTTTTTTTATTGTAGCATATAAGGATTCTTAGCACTGGCAGGTGCAGCCAGCTGGACATTTGGATCGTATGCCAACGAAAAAGCAACTAATTTTTAAATTAAGAGTATTTTAAAACATTCAGTTAATTTCAATAAACGGTTAACTTAGTACTAATTTCTTACGAAGGGAATTCCATAAAACAGTGTCTATCGCTGGCAATGCACAAAAACACATTACAAGAAACGCATTTGAATCTGGTTTTTTGGTTACATCCTTCTTTACGGCATCTCATAAATTTGTTTTTATCCTGGACACCACAGATGGGTAAGTGTCTATTTTCAGTCCTTCTCACATCTTTTGGGGGTAGGGGCTGTATGGACCTAACTCTTTTTGTTGAGACATCGTCTTCGATTTCGATGTCACTTAGCCTTCTTTTACCAGCACATGCGGACAAACATTCTCCTACGTACATCTTAAAATCTAATAGGTCCATCAACTCGCACCTCCTTGCACCACAGGAAAATTTGTCTTTTTTATAAAGAACCCAGGAATTACACAGTGCGAGATCAACCATATGCCAAAAAACTCGTGTGGGCCACTTCTTTGTTCTGATGTTAATACGGTAATAGGATATCAACCTGTCCGCAAGATCTACGCCTCCCATTGACGTGTTGTAACTTGCTACGAATACGGGGACAATTGACATTTATGTAATTTTTGGCTTTCTTATCCCATCGACGAACAGATATAAGTGGTCGTGCTCCAGTCGACGTGGCCGCCATTAGAACCGAACGACTGTCCATCCATTTTACAATCGCTAGTTTCTCATCTTCTCTCACAAATTCATTGAAGGTACCTCTGCCTCTTTTTAGAAGATCATGGTCGGTTGAAAGTTTTGTTCGCAGTTCCTTGGGGATTCGGTTTTGTTGAATCGTGCCCGTAGCATATATTCCATTTTCCAGCAAAAACTCTAGTAGTTTTATCGAAGTAAAATATCGGTCAATAAATATTTCGCTGCCTTTACTAATATTTTCTGCAAGTCTTTGCACTACTGTTCCTCCGATACCTAAATCGTGGTTGCAAAATTGTTCAAACCAACAGGACAGGGTTTCCCCTTAACATATTGTTTCAATTGCGTGGTACCAGAGAATGGAATCATTTGTTCATCGATGCTCAGTTTTGCTGGCTTTGGTAGCAATTGACATTTTTTCAAAACGGCTTTTATTATTGGTTCAACTTTCCACAATTTGTTGTTTTCTTTTTCTTGTGGTGTAGCTCTTAAGTTGTTGACAAAATGCATATAATTTCTTAATTTAAAAAATCGATCCCTTGGTATCTGTGTAATGGCTGGAACATTAATAGCAGGTCGGTAGTACATCCTTACGCGCGGAAGTTTCATGCAACCAGCAAGTATGTGGGCCCCAGATAGTTTCTTGTACTCATTATAGTTTGAATACAAATTTTGGCCGTTTTCTGGAGCGTACGTATTACTTTGTTGTGAAATTTCGCGCCAAAAATCGTCGTCAAAATACTCCGAGAAATATTGGAAAGGTGTCCACTCAAATCTATCTTCTGCGTTCCATGCCTCGTCGGCAGCGGGAGTATTACCCACGACAAATTCTTTGGCTAGCCATTTAAGCGGTTTTTTATTTTGAAGATTTGAGGGGCTTTCATTTGCATCAACCAACTCTTGTTCAGCAATATTTTCTTCTTCATTATCAGATTCTGCATTGTAGTCAGAATCGGAATCACTTGAAGAAGCGACATTCGAACAATTAGGAACGAGTTCCAAGTCTTCATCGTCGGACAAACCTTCAAAATCACTGTCCATGAGCATCTCCATCACCTCTTCTTCCGTAAAACGTTTTTTCGACATGATAGCTACCAAATGTCCAGCCCACTGAACATTTAAGAAACAGTATTCATATCCGAATTTTAATAAACTTATTTAAAAGATTTTTTATTTACCTTAAAGAACAAGTATCTTTCGATTGAATTTAATAAAATATTAAACTTGATTTGAAGAAATATAGCGAAAATATTAATTTGAAATTACATTCACAAGGACCACACGTTTTTTCAAATAACTGTTCACTTCTTGGATCGTATTACGACAGTATTGCCACAAACGCAAAAAAAAAAAAATTCAATTGTAAACTTAAGATGTCCAGCTGGCTATAAAGTTGGATCGAATTGAAATAAATTTAAAATTTTTTATTATATGTCCATTTAAAAAGTGTCCAGCGGGCTACACGCGAGGATCGAGGAGGTTATATAGACCAACTTTTAAGTTAGTTCTTAAATTATACATTTATAATTTAAACACTTAGGCAAAAAAAGTCCAATTAAATTATTTAATTGATTTTGACTATTATTTGTATCTCGTATTTGTTATTATAAGTGAATATACAGTTCATTTAATTTAGCACTTAACTCCATTTAGCAGACAATATCACAATTAATTCGCTTTGCTGGATAATAAATTGGCAGCAATTTTATACGTGCGCTTATGGATTAGTCAACCTTTGAATAACAGGTTGGACTAAGCGAATCAATTTCGCTTGACAACGGCGTAAAGACCAGAAATCTTTGTCAGGCTAAACCTTGAATGCGTTAGGGCTGGTTAGGATAAATAAGATCAAAACGTAGAGTATGGAAACTTTCATACTTAAAAAGTTCCACACTTGCTATGCCAAGTGAAAGGAATTTTGACTCAATTTACATTCAATCGAGCCTTAATCGAACAATCAAGGATTGAAGTTTTGTATGCTAAATCGAACTCAATTAGTGCCTTAATCAATAAATCTTGGCTAATTAGTAAAACTTAATATTAAACTATTTTAGAATTTCATTTAGGCCAGGGGATTGCCTCTGGTAGTTTTTGGAGTGAAATTTCTTTGCGACGTAACGAAAAAGTGACACACCCGTTGGTCTCTAATTACGAACGAAAAAACGACAAAATACGGTACATAAGAGATGGCGGGAGTGGTTGGCCACGCTTAAGATTAAACTTAGGATTATGATTAAGATTGAGATTGATTACAACGTGCGACAAAAAAACAAAAGAATTTCAAAACAGACGAAACAATCAAAATGCTCACGAAACAATGGGCAATATATAGTAAAGCTGTGTTTTTAGTTGTTCACTCTGACGTCAGGATTTTTTTTAAGGACTTTAAAATTTTAAAGATATGATTCATTCAAAAAATTATTTAAAAAAAAAACACAGTGGAATGTACAACAACAATATGGGTACCAAGCGAAAGGGAAAATTCTGCAGATTTGAAAAACATTAAAGTTTTTTGGTTTACAAGGACGAATAAGTATTGAAAATGCGATTTTAATTAATTATTTTTTTTTTAAGTAATCAAATTAGGATGACGAAATACGAATACAATTTTTTTCAAAAATAGATATTGCAAATTTTCAAGGTTATTCAAGGATAAAATTATAAAAGGAAATTTTACATACCGATTCGTCAAGAAATTTCTATTCTTTTTAGATTGCACTGAATTTTTTACTAGTTTTTTGAATTGATCATATTTTTGCAATTTCGAAGTGCTTTAAAAAAAATCCTGACGTTAGAGTGAAAAATTAAGAACGCCAGTTTGAAAATATTTTGAAAAGGGTTTCCACGTAGTTGAAAATTAGAATTTAATTGGATTATGTACAGTTATATGAAATATCGAACGAAAGAGTGATAAGAAAAATTCAAATACAGCACCGCCGGTATCCACAAATACAGCCACGAATCTGTCGGCACAAAAGTTATGATTAAAACACCTGCATTAATGCGAAAATCTATTAATTTAATAAAGCCAACTGCATTTTGTTATACACATACTCGTTTACTGCTGAAATATTTTTGGAGCTATTTTCCCGCCTACAAAATGGAGTCTGTGTGAGTGTGTGCCACCAAATTAA